AAAACACATCAACACCCGCAATCATTGTTTGAGGACCAAAGTAATCAAACAAGAGTGCAAAAGCGTCACATGCTGACGCCACGACTTCTTTATCCTTCTCCCCATGGATACACGGAAGAAGCGTTTCATTCACCAAACTGTCCAACAGCCGACGCGCATGCGAGGTCAGTGTGTCCTGTGCTGTGGACATCACAACCGGCTCGGAACCCTGGGCTGCTTTCGTAAGCCTCGCAAGTGCCATGAGGGCGCTGCAACGAATACCGCTATGGAAGTGCGCGTCCAAATCACTCAGCGCCGACCAACAGACGTCTATCCATGACATGCCAAAATCCGCAAGAAGTACCTCTGCACAGACACCAATAAAGTATACAGCACTGCTCTTCTCCTCTACATCCGCCGTCCGCACACGTGCGTAAATTTCTTCGGCATCACTCTCTTCTTCCGATTCCTCATTGTCCTCATCATCGTTTTTCGCATTACTATTCTTTACATTTACATTACGCATGCAACCCTCCGCCAAAAGGTGCTTGTTTTCGTAGTGGTTTCGATCCTCGTTTATGGTCTGCAACGCAGAGCCAATAGAGTCATTGAGATAGGGAATAAAATCCACACGCAGGACCTCGCAAATGTTGGACAGGAAACCAAAGCTCTCCTCCCGCAGCTCAGCCTGACGGGTATGGAAATTATCCGCAACACGATCAAAAAAAAATGAGAAGAACGGCATGAACTTCTCCTTCCCAATGGCATTTGCAATGATTCCCACTGCCTCCGTCGCCTTTGCTCGCAGCAGCACCGTCTCTGGCGAGGTCATGGTGAGCGGTGTCTTCAGGAGCTCCAGGCACTGAGCGGCATGAACCTGAAACGATGGACATCGAGTACTGGCCAAGGATGATATCACGCCACAGAGTGCCCTTTGTGTTTCCAGAGAACTGCGCCCAATGGCCTCTAACACAGCCGGCAACACCAAAGAAACATATGGTTCCACATCCTCTAAAACATTTTCACATAGTGTGTCAATTGCTCCAGCCACACGACGACACACCCCATCATTCTCATCACGAAGCAGCGGCACAAGCATATGAAATAGCTCCCGATGGTGCGTAAGAACCTCCGGCTGAAGATGCGTGCAGAAATATGTAAGGGAAAAGGCAGCAGCCTCGCGTGGAATAGGATTGCTGTCGCACAAAAAGTCATGCGTTAGCTTCAACACGTATTGTACTTTGCGTCGCAAATAGCCCGGGTTGCCCTCCGCCAGGCAGGCAAGGGAAAGAATGGCCGCCTTGCGCTCAAGAGGACCTCCCTGCATGTTTTCAGAAACGCGCAAAACAAACGGTAACAACGCATTGGTAAACGCTTTGGCAGATACTTTTGTTGCGAGAGTACTTAAAAGACGTCCGGCGTACATACAAGGTGGGCTCACGTGTAGCATCTCGGCATCTTCATCATTGTTGTCGTTCTTAATGTCCATTTCCGAGTCCTCCAGGCGTGTAACCTCTTCGGGGAGCGAAATAGTGCCATCCTCACCCATGACTTGTACACATGCCGAAACCATGGGCTCCAGCAGTGTTGTTGTCACAAACTTGGGCTTCAAATTCACCAGAGTTACTAGAACCTCACTGCTATTCTGCCGCACACGCGGCCGGTTCACAGTGTTGCAAAGTACTGAAATCATCTCAAGTCCCAAGGTGCGGAGAATCCCTTCATGTTTCTTAACGCTCAAATCCTCCACCAGCTGCTCAAGGAGATCCAATACGTCCACGCAGATATTTGTCCCCTCTTCCAGAGGCCCATATACCGCCAAAAGCTCCAAGCAACGCGGTATGAGGTGCTGCAACAATTTTCCCCGTTCATGCTTCTTTTTTTCCACCACAACTCTGTCCTCTTCCTGCGCGTCCACAAAAAGCAGCAACGCCCCCATCGCCTTCAACGCAGCCCGCTGCACACTCACCTCGGCGTCCGTCATGCCCTGAAGAACCGCCTCCGTGACCAGCGTGTTGAGATCACCGCACTCCCCCACCACCTCCGCTATGCTGTACGCCAGTACCATCGCCAACTCCCGCATGTCCCCGCGTGGGTCCTCCATTGCCGTGCGAATCGCCACTTGCAACTCTGGCCATCCCTCAACCGGTTCCAGAAATTCGGCCCTCGCCAGGCGGGAAATTACATGTGCCAGCGCAAACCGCACCACACGCACAGGCTCGATGCCAAGTTGCGCCAAAAGAACATGTTTCAGCTCCGCCCGCGATCCCACTGGGATTGCGCGCCAGAGTGAAAATATCTTCTTTCGCAGAAGCACCGCAGCGAGTTGTCGAACCCCGGCGGAGACCGATTGCACATCCTGCACCAAACGCACCAAGAGCATGAGGTTGGAAGAGGCGTTGAGCGCACGCACAACAGTGGACTCCACGCTGCGGCGCTCGTTGTTGTCCGTCGAGTGCAAAATGGTGTGCAGCATGCCGTGTAGCTGCTCCAGCCCAAGGCTGATATCCGTAGGCGTCCCCGCCATCTTCTGGCAAGGGGGAAAAAAAAAAAAGAAAAAGAGAGAAACAGCAGCACGTCTTCCCCCACAAAAACCAAAAAATAAAAATAAATAAAATAAATAAATAAAATAACAATAATAATAATAATAGAAGAAAGAAAGAAAAGAAACACAGAGTCCAATCAATTTAAATAGAACATCCTTCGATATTCAAATAAAAAGCTACAGAACGCCCGCTGCAACACAACACTCCCTTTTCCTGATCCTTTCGAGATTTGCCTGCCTCAAACTGTCGTGTGGTTTTGCGCCCCCACCTTTATCCTGTCGGCTACCACGTCACGCCTCAAGCCCCCACCCATCGCCTCGCACCAAAAGCACCACCCGTGACAGCGAGAGGAAGCGACGCAACTTCTGTGACAAAAGGACATCACACGTAGACCGAAAATAAATGTATATTAGGAATCAAAGAAGAAATTCCACGTGCGGCAGGCTAAATTCAACGGACAGAAAGTTTTTCTTCATCGACTTCCGTCGATCCAGCTCGCCCCGCGGCCCGATTGTTATAGTCCTTCTCGGCTCGTGTGCGCTGGCACCCACTCCCACCATCAACGTCATGTTTGCATCTTTGTTTAATAAAGAAACAATGCCTTCTCTTCCGTTGGTGTTTCCCCTCTCACACCGCCTCCCTTTTTTTTCCCTTTTTTTTTGTTGTTATTGTTTATATTCCCCCCTTGCTGCTACAATTTGTCGCCATCCGCGGCTGCACTTCTATTTCGCGTAGCGTGCAACGATGGCAAACACCATGCACACAAGGTACACCACAAACAGCAGAACATCAATGGATATGTGGAAGTACGATCCCTGCTCCAGTCGCCCGACCTCACGCCAAAGACTCGTAGCGTCAACAAAGAAGGCACCTCGCGAAATGCGCCAAACGAGAAACAACAACGCCATTGCGTAGCAAAGTGATAGCGCAATGCTTTGAATAAAAAAAATGGCGTGTAGCAGCTGTAACGCACGGAGACCAACGTAAACCTCCATCACGGGGTTGACAATCCGCTCGCACTCTAGCACGTTCAGGCACTTGTCACGGCAGTCCGCAATGTTGAGAGCATACAGCATGGCAAAGATGAGCATGACAAGCTGAATGAGACCGGCTGCAACCCATGCGCCGATAAAGTGCAGGAAACTCGCAAAAAGTGCTGCAATACTAAGACAGTACGCAAACAAAAAAAAATACGCCCGCTTGCGTTCACTTGCCGTGTGCTTCGAGGTGTTCCGGAGCACACGCCATACATCCCGCTGCTGCACGATAAACCGCATCAATATCAAGCAAATTTGATGGGTCTCGTGCCTTCTTCGCCACCTGCTGGGTTCTTTTTAAAAGGCCGTGATCAATGAGTCGCCTTTTGCCCGCTCTCCTTGCTTATAAATTTTATTCCTGCTGTTGTCGCCCCTTTTTTCACTGACACTCCCGTCACTTCGAGACAAAAAGTTAGGCGCCACCCGAGCACCGGCCTCTCCCTCTCCCAAACACAAACACACACACACACAAAGAACCCTCTTTTGCGCCACTCCCACGCAGGGCGCGCGCCCCGCCAAAGAAGAGCAAAAAAAGGAAAAAGGCGTACGTAAAAGGACAAGTGATGCGTGGCAAACTAAAATCAAGCAGACAGCGGAATTTATTTTTTTATTTTTTTGGAAGCAGCAGGTGCCAACTAAGTTCATTTAAATTACATTTGTTGTAGTTGTTGCTGTTGTAATTTTTTATCGTGAGGAAAAGAGGAAAAGAGGAATAAATTAAAAAAAAAAAAAATGGGTCTTCGGTATCCGCTCGTGTTTGTCGCCAACCCGCACTGGCAGGCTCCCTGTGCGCATCACGGGGGTGTCCCGCTCCCTCCCTCTCCCTCTCGCCCCCTCCCTTTCCCCTTCCCCGCATACCCACAATTTTCTTTTCACTCGGATCATCCATTCGTCTCGATGAACCTACAAGTTGAAAGACCACCACGTCACGCCTCGCGCCGCAGTCGCCAGAAGTGCATATTTTGAGTTGACACTCAAAGCGACAGGAACGTCGCTATCTTTGCACTGCAGTTCGTACTTGAGGGCGCCGCGCCGACACGACCCGGAAAACTGTCCGTCGTAGCCATCGTACACCAGTAGGTGTCGCCCCGCATTCATGTACGTGGATAACTGCACCACAATAGAACCTGTAATATTTGGAAACATAAATTTTGCACCAACAGCGTCGCCGGCGCCTATGAAATGTCGGCGCGCCACGTTGTGAAAGTATGAGCATGACACCAGTCCAAGTTGCAAGGCATACACAACCGCCTCCCCTCCAAAAGATGTGAGCAACAAATGGGATCCGTCAGCGGCTACCTCAGCTCCTTTGCAGCGCGAAGCCGCACCCGACTCTGTAAAAATTACTTTGTTATCCAAGGAAGCTAATGGCGATGAAAACATTTTTCGGTAATCAAAGACGCGGACCCGGCAGTCATCCCCAACGACAAGTTTTGTTCCATCAGGGCTGAATGATACGGTGGCCCTGTTACCCATCACCGTTCGTTCACCAGATGCCGCGATTGCCCCAGAGATTAAGGGGTGAAACAACAGCAGACGACCCTGCGTCGAAAATACGGAGGCAATCACGTCGCTTTGGGGACACTGGGAAATCGTTGAGTACACCGGTGTGTTGCTAACGGCCCGCAGCTCCGGCACGTCATCACTCACAAAGGCCATTGCAGCAAACAACTGGGCCGAAGTGAGACTCAAAAGGTACAGGTGGCCATCGCTACTGTACCGGGGGGCCACACAAACCACATCGCTAGACTGTGTGAACCTTGCACAGTGTACACCAAACGCCTCTAACTGAATTGTTTCGTTGTGCCGCATCGCCAAAACATCAATCAGTCGCAGTGCATCATCCGCATGGGAAGAAATAAAATATTGCCCATCTAAAGAAAAGTCCATTGTTCCAACGCGCGGGTCGTTTACGCCCGTAAAAAAGTGCGATGCCACTTCAATGGGGCTACCATCACTTTCATCGGCGCCGGTAAAGACTCCGACCATCGGCTGCGGCACCACGTTGCACAATGCTCTCTTCATTCGAATTGTGACGCCAAAAGCCAAACCCCATGCACACATCCGTAGAGGAAAAAAAAGAAAAAAGAAAAAAGAGTAGGTGGGTAACATATATGCAAAGAACACGCCACAGTGATGAAGCCAATCCCACAGAAGTGCACCATTAGTACTCACTTTTCAGGCCCCACTCCTTAAGGCATATTCATTTTTAATCGATCCGCCATTCTTTTGTTGTTTCATCCCCACACGCACCACACAGTTTTCCTCCATCGCTTTGCCTCGTTCAAACTGGGAGGGAGGAGGTTGGTGCCGCATACGCAGAGGGGGAGAGAAACCCCCATGGTGCATGATGCCTTTTTGCTTCAGGAAATGGGTAGGCCAAGGCTAAGCAAGTGCAGTGGGAGCAGTTGCCTCTTCTTTTGCACGAGTAGCGACGAGGTGGGAAGAGGCCTTTCCATCTCAGCTTCCACACGGGTGACATGCGCATGCAGCTCCAACGCAAGCCGAAGTAAACGCTCCTCCGCGTCCTCAACACCCAGCCAGTAGCCAATAAGAGGATTCAGAAAGAGAGTGACAAGAACGTGACGGTGCTCGGCGTGAGCAAGGATAGCGCGCACACGCAGAAAAGCCTTTATGACGTACGACTTGCCCAAAAGCAGCCGAACCCCAACCGAGGAAAAGACGCGCTGAATGAGAGCAAAATTACGATGCAATGGATAGATAAGGACCCGACGTGCAAAAAAAATACAGGCGTCATACACATTCTCCGCCGGGTCCAGCCACGAGAGAGCCGGACTCAGCTTGCAGATATTCCACAGTGACTCGCTACAGCCGGTTCCTTCCGTCACGATGTCATCATAGGCCTCTGAAAAAAGTATGTCCACTGTGAGCGCGTCAACAACCAACGAACTTGGTGGAAATAACAAACGTGGTGGTCGAATTTTCATCAGCACCCCATGTTCTTCGGAAGAAAATAAGGCACGAGGCCGTTGTTGCGGCACGGCAAGGGATCCGGTAGGAAGCGCTGAAACGTTAGTGCTTGAGACCCCGATTGGCACGTCCACTTCATTTTCTGTCGGTTGCGAAATCTCCTCGACAAGAGGTCGCTTAAACTCCGCAATATTTCCGGCCCACAGATCCACAACACCAGTGGACATCGGCAACACCTCTTCTTCCTCCTCAAGCACACCCTTACCATTGTCGTCTTCCTCCGTCGCCGTAGCATAATTATCGGTGGCTTCTTCTATTGGTGCTGACGGGACCACGTATCGCACCCCCTCCGCATCCAGAGCGGCAAAGTAGTCCAGACGATGTCGTGGCACGTAGCGCAACAAACGCTGCACTTCGCCATCGGCATCTTCAAAACTTAAGAGAAGAGCGTCCTCATCAAAATCGCTGTTCTCCGACTGCAATCGAAGCTGACGCCGCTCGACCGCTGTTGTCTCGTCCGGGTTACGCGGTAAATCGAGCACTTCGGCAGTGATGTCAGAATCGAGTGAGGCAAACATCCCCGAAAAACTTCCTGCAAAGCCGTAATCCGCACAGCCATCTTCTGCCCCACAGGCAGAAGGCAGCTGCTGACGGAATTCGGTTTCATCTTCATCGGGTGCCATGGAATCCTCCCCTTGCAAGTCACTGCCTCCCACACACTGGACCAGCTGATGGCGTTCTTTATCAGTGGCTATGAGATAGCCAGGGTTGTCCAGGTGCGTAAACACCTCGTCTCTGTGTTCCTTCGGGATGTACACAGTCAATACATTGGTATCAACGGTGTACGTCGCCCTCTCACCACGTCCCTCCGCAATGCGCTGATCAAACTTCAGTCGTAGGTAATATGGGGCACAGTGAAACGTAAACTGATGATCCAGTATGCTGAATACAGCTGTTGTCACTTTGCAGAGAGCCGACAGCGTTATGGAAACAATAACAAAAGACTCATTCTGCTCGCAAACAAATATCGGAGTCAACATCTTCTTTTTTCTAAAAAATAAAAAATAAAAATAAAAATGACGGAAAAAAGAAAAAAAAGAAAAAAATAATAGTTTTTTACGTCACCAACAAACAAAATAGAAATATTTAAATTTCCTGCCGCAGGTCTTTTCGCAGGCCCTTTTTTGTGGATCGCGCGCCCCTCGAAGCGGCAACGGTGGCCCTCCTCCTCCTCCACTTCCTTTTATTATCTTCCTCCTTCCCTTCACCCCAGTGGAAGGGAATAAATAAAGACGACATGTTTGTGTGTTTTTTTTTTTTGTGTGTGTGCACTCCATCCACAAAAATGAAAAAAGAACGTCCGTCATTACACGCACTTACTTTGGACCGCACCCAATCCCAACAAAACCATCACCGCATCCTTTTTCGCCCCTCAGCCAAACCAAATATATACCCCACGCTACTCTCAAAAAAAAGAACGACCATTGAATGGAGAACAGAAGAGGGCAATCACGTTTCACCGCCCGCGTGTGCTGCTGTTCCCTATATTTTCAATGTTATGTTCCAACGCCACGAGAGAGGGCCGCAATCGCAGCCTCCGCCGCCGGATTTTTCTCTCCGGGTGAGAACAAAATGGCGGCCCTAAAGTCGCACAGCGCCGACTCGCGATCCCCAAGCGCCTGGCTTGCCAGCCCGCGTCGATAAAGCACCTTCACCTTCAAATCTCCCTCGAGAGGGTGTGTGTCATCCTGCAGCAGAAATGTCGCCAGCATCCGCGCCTCCTCGGGTCTCTGAAGCTTCAGAAACACAAGAGCCACATTGGCGCGCACAACTTGATCGATCTGCACTGCCTCTGCGTCATCAGCGCCCAGCGCGGCACACATGTCAACGCACCCCTGGTACATCTCCAACGCCGCGTCAAATTCAGCCGCGCGAAAATGCGCATTGGCCTTTTCCTTTAGGAGGAGAAGCGTGGCATGATACCGCTCCCGCTCCTCCTTGTCAAGACCCACAGCGACAGTGTCGTCGTGCAAATTCTCCTCATCATCATCATCTTCCTTCGGCTCACGCTTACTCGCATGCATGCTCCAGCCGCGGCCAAAACACCTGCACAATGCAACCACTGGCACAAGTGCAGCAAGGCCCGATAGCAGCAGCCACCCCCTGCGTCCGACCCGCGTCATCGTGAGGCAGTAAGTACTAGCAGCGGACAAGAGGAAAAATGGAAAAAATAAATAAATAAATAATATTCATAAACAATAAGCCACGGTAAAAACAAAAGAAAATAAATAAATAAATAAATAAATAAATGTGTAACGTCGCACAGTTAACCATCTATCCATCTGTGCAGACATGTGCGAAGGGGGGGGAGAAAGAAAGAAAGGAAGAAGTAATTGTTGGCCGTGCCAGGCATTCTAAAAAAAAAAAAAAAAACGGTGTGACGCCCAAAATGGTGCAAATACCCCTGCCTGAAAATAATAAAATCTCAACACTGCCTTTTTCCACCCTCATCAAAAAAAAAAAAGAAAGCACGCGACGCCCATTTCCAGAAAAAAAGAAAAAAAAGGGCTTCTTCGCATTATACAGCATTGTAAGAAATAAAGAAATTTAAAAAAGAAAACGTACACACGCGCACACAGAAAAAAAAAAAAAAAAAAGTCAAACCCTTTTGAGATCTTTTGAAAAAAAAAAAAAAAGCAGGCGCATCCAACTCAATCCATTCCCCAACTCCACGTTGAGACCACTACATCTGTTCGTATTGCGTCGTAGAACTTCCCCAGCCAATACAAAGCCGTATCTTCGTGTAGACGTACACCATGCCGTCTTTCAGCAGATATGGAAAGTCCGCCCAAAACTCCGGGTGCGGAAAAAGGTCCTTCCCACGCTTGCCCTGGCGCAGGTAGTACCACAAAACGGTCACAATGACGTACGCCGCAAGGCTCACAAAGAAGATAACAACAAAGGCACAGCCGCCGCCACAACCTCCTGCAGAACCTCCAGACGGCTGGACTGGACAAACTGCCTTGGTGAGTACTGTTGCGTTCAACACCTCAGTATTTGTATCGTAATAATAATATGTTCTCACTTCGTAGTCTGCTGAGGGCCACGCCAATTCCATCTCCTGTCCACACTTTACATCCAGATTCATTTGGTAACCCCAATCCCTGTACCATTGCGAGTAGACAGCCTGTACATAGCCATCGTTGACAGTGATGCTCTGTAAAGTCATTGCTTTGCCCAGTCTATCCCGTGTTTTGCTGTATTGTTTCACAAAGCCACTTTTTGCTACGCACAAAACAATATCCCACAAGTATGGGCCTTGGGAAGTACCATCTGAATTTCTTTCCCGTGCTAACAAATTTGCCTCAGGTACCTTTGAAAGATTGTAATTACCAACGACACAAGAAGCCACTTCGGCTCGTGCCACCAACGTGCATGACAAGAACCCAGCCAATAGAAAAGTATAAATAAAAAATCTCAAACACAAGTGCACTTTTCTCCTCCCACGTTCCATGAGCTCCCCGTTTTTCCCCCCACGGAAAGAAACGGGAAACAAATCCAATGCTGCCACTATAAACAGGGAAATATACAGAATAAATAGAAATATACGACTCTGCGTGTGTGAGTGTGCCTAAACTGTCTTTCTTTTCTTTTTTTTTCTTTTTTCCACCGCTCCCTTCCCCTTCATGAGCAAAAAAGATAAAAGAAAGAACAGAAGAGAAAGGCTGCTGCACCTCATAATACCACAAGTACCCAATAAAGAACAGTTATAAAAGGAAAAACGCAATATATATATATATATATATATTATATGCCCATTGCAGACATCATAGGAATAGAGAGATTGAAAGAGTCGCTCTCGTGAGTGCAAAGAAGACATCAATTACACTTTTGTTTTCACTCAATCGGCGGCCAGAGTGCATCCGCGACACGCTCACCGTTTCCCCGCCCCCTTCCTAAGACGCGAAGAGAGACGTCTCCCTTTTTTTTGCAATGCGGCTTCATTGCACAAAAGTGTCTGCGCCATTTTTGTTTTTTGTTTGTTTTTTTAAGTTCTCTGCAACGCAACTGCCGCCAACACTCACAAAAATGTAAAATAAATAAATAAATAAATAAATAACAATAAAATAAACAAAAAAAAGGTGTAATTCCGTCGTGCTTCCTGCGCATCTCGTCTCTATTCGCAGCGGCAGGACAAAACAATGCAACGTTTGTTTTTTTTGTTTTTTTTTTTCTTCTCACCTCCTCCTTCTTCCTTCTTGTCTAGCGAGGGGTGGGGTGGGGTGTTTTGTTTGTTAATTTTATTCTAAGAAAAACCTCTACTGCGTTTTTGGCCGCTTGAAGAGCAGCACGTGCGGCTCCGGCTTGTGAAACATGTAGTGGCGCCACCCGACCGACTGCTGAACGCCCAGCTGGCGCCACTCGGACTCGTCCATCAGGCGGTGGCGAGGCACCAGACGGGCAAAGTCCTTCGGCAAGACAACATGGCGGTACTCGTACTCGTCATCGTAGTACTTCTCGCTGTAGAGAATCTTGGACTGGAGCTTGCTGATCATGTGCCTTGCCTGCTCCTTCTGCACAGGGTCGGTAATGGAGAAGAAGTCCCTCGCCGACATGTCCTCTCCTTATTTATTTATTTATTGATTGATTTGTTTATATTTTTTTCCTTCCCCCCCTCTCGCAATTCCGTTCGGTCTACCGGCTTCCGTCAGCGCTGTCGGTTCCGGCTGACCGCGCCTAAAAACGTTCTTGCATTCACACAGAGAGAGAAGTATGCATGTGGGTTTGCATGCAGAGAATCGAGTGAGGCAAGAGCGGAGACAAAATAAATGAGAAAATGAAGAAGAAGAAAAAAAAAAAAAAAAGATGGAGACGCAGAAAAAAAGAACACATGCCAAGAAAGGAACAGACAAGCAGACAGGGACGTGCAGACGCCAGTTAACCTCCGCACTACCAACAGAACAAAAATTAAAATATATTTATACAAAAAAAAAAAAAAAAAAGTCACTGTAACGGGCAGCTGACTTGCGTAGCCGCTAAAGGCAGCACAACACGTGGAATCACCCATAAGGCGTCCCTCTCCCTCTATCCTCCTCGTTCCAACAGAGAAACTGACGGAAGCGAACAGCCGTGGCAAACAAAAGAAGTCAACATCAAAAGCATCCCCTGCAATAACACCACCTGGAAGAGTTTGCATGTGTGTGCCTTTTTTTTTAGTTACGTCATAATACACCGGAAAGAAGAGAAAAGAAAAAAAAAAAAAAGAAGAAACGAAAGCCCCACACCTGCGGGAATTCTCTATGCGTAGGCCTCTTTGTGTGTACGTGTGTATACCACAAACCTCAAACCCCAAAAAAAAATAAAAATAAAAATAAAAATAAAATATTTGTTCTTAAATATGGGCTTGGCTCTCAAAATAATTTCTCTCCTTTCTCCCACACACACCCCGTATACTTCCCGACTCTATCGTCGCCGTCCATGCCAAGACACCCACCATTCCATTCCATTCCTTCTGCCCCTTCAATTATGATCTATTTATTTTTTCTTTTTTACATGCCTCTTCGCTCGACCTCATACCCTCTTCTACTCCGTCAGCCGCACAGGATGTGCATACGTGTGTGACAGACGAACTGACGGTCCATTCGTGACGAAACGAGAAGCGGAGCCAAAACAAAAAGGAGACGGAGGGGTCAAAATGGCATAAAAACAACACGTGGAAGTCATACGGAATGCCCTCTTGCCCATGAGCAATTTTTCATGTGCGTGCATCGCAAAAGGCAAATGGAAAAAAACAAACGAAACCCAACAGTAAAAAAAAAAAGGATGGAAGCATAAGGTACATGTCAATATGGGTAAATTGATGCTAGGCAGCGCGCCCCGGACGACAAGAAGGCAACACCACCTGCTCTATTCGCATCACCCCAGTTCTCCCTTTGCCTCCTTCTTTGCGTTTTTCTAATCATTGGCGGCGTCCCAGTTACGCCTTTCATTGTTTCTTGTATCGCTTCGCCCCTGCCTTGCCCTTCATTGATGCCTTGCGCTTCGGAGTTGCCTTGCGCTTTGGAGCCGCCTTACTTTTCAAGGCCGCCTTACGTTTCAAAGCTGCCTTACGTTTCAAAGCTGCCTTACGTTTAAGAGCTGCCTTACGTTTCAAAGCTGCCTTACGTTTGAGAGCTGCCTTAAGTTTCAAAATTGCTTTACGTTTCAAGGCCGCCTTACGTTTGGCAGCCGCCAGTCTCTTTCGCTTCAGTTTCTTCGCCTGCATCTCCTTTTGCTTCAGTTCGCGCCACATCCTCCCAATGACGCGTTGGCGCTGCTGATTGCTGAGGTGCGTGAAGCGAAAAGCCTGCTGCCGCTGAAAGCGATTAAAGGAATCGAGAGCGGGGTACCTCTTCTTTACGGCACGCGCCTTCAGTGCGCTCAACTTCTCGGGAGGGAGGGCGCGGTACATGCGGGAGCCGATAGCTGAGCAATCCTTCAATGGCAGCCCCGACAGCTCCCTTTTCCTCGCCAATTCCTGCAGAAATATGGAGTAGGGGCTGACACGCAGCGCCGTCATCGTGCGTCGAAGCATTTTTTTATTGCTGTTGGCTCTTCACTCCCCGTTGATGGATGGATGAACAAAATAACGGCTGAAATTCAGCAGTGCGATCTGTGCAGAACAAAAGTCAGCTCAAAATACACACACACACAAACACAAAAAAAAAAAGGAGGAAGGAGTGAGCCGTAACCCCCACCCAAAAAAAAAGAAAAATAATAAAGAAAAGCATGCATCAAAAGAAGGTCTCGTGGGTCAGCACACACAACAGAAAACAGAAAAAGAAAGAAACGCGCAGGCAACGGCCGTGATGCATCAAAAAGAAACTGCAGCACCCCACAACTTCTATTCGTCAATGCCAGGCTATTTACATCCCCTTACTGCGCCAGATCAATGAGTGCGGAAAGAGAAATGGACGGTACATTTTCACTTCTTCCGCTTCTTCTTGTCCGTCCTGCGCTTGATCTCCGGCACAACATCCATTGGGGGCTTCGGTAACTCCATGCGGGCAACCTTTGGCGCCTCGCGAAAAAGAGCCCTTGAGTGCAGCAACTCGGATTGAATAGAGATGAGATGCGACAACACCTCACACTGTGGAGTGCTCAATAGTCCACCCATGCATAGGAATCGAGCCTCCATGGCAACCGAAAGATGCGCCATCGTGGCCGCATTTCCTACTAACTCCTGCGTCGCAAAACTCACGCAACGTCCTTCAAATTCCTTTACACGCCGCACAATCTCATGCACGTCGGACAACGTCCCTATAGCGCCCGGATCCAGAACAAAGTTCGACGTCCATAGACCGCGAATCCCATGCTCCACTTTTTTGTACTGACTTCGAGCATAAATATCACGGCCGGAGACGTGAAGCAAATCACCCAAATGCGCCTGCAGACGTTGCAGGCCAAAGGTATCCCTGTCGCAGTGCGTGTCCTCCACGTAAACCACAAAGTCCGTGCAATTTTGCAGCTGTTCTCGTAGGTACTCGGATACCTGCGCCCCTGAAACATCCGCATCACCTGGGAAAAGTGCATACATCACTTCTGTCGTATCCTTACTTTCTTTCCAAGCGGCCGCACTCGGCACTGCTGTCGCTGCCAAAGACGGGGAAGTAACCGCAGCGGCAAACCTCAAGCCGATGCAAATATCTTTCACGGGGGTGAGACCCACCGCACGCACCGCCTCCTCGGCCAAACCCAAAGCATCCGTCACGTTCTCAAAGTCATCGTATGCAAGGGAACCGTCAGAACGCATCATTGTGTTATGCGCCCGGCAAAAATGATGAAACGCGGCAAAAATCTTTTGAATAATCTCATTCGGAATGGAGCCCTCAGGCATGGCTGGGATAAGAAGAACATCCTTCAGCGCCAGCCGGGCCGTCGATGGGTTTCCAGGGCCAAAAAAACTTATGCACAGCTGAGGCATAGCAAAGACCTCGTCCCCACCCAACGATGGAAAAAGCTGGCGCAAATACATAAACAACGGAATGGAGGAACACCGAGCAGCTGCGGATGCCGCCACAGTACTCAAGCCGTGCATCACACTCACCCCAACGTCGACCGTCTCCGCAGAAGAAGAAATTTGGCGAAGCGTCGTGTCAAATCCCTTTTGGTCACGTGCACCAAACTGAAGGAGACGAGGAAAATAACTCTTTTGAAGTGCCTCCGTGGTGTAAGTGGTGGGGTCGGTGGTTTCATCCGCACCCGCGTCGTACTCGCCGTGTGAGGGCTGCACAAACGCCGCGGACTCCGTCTCCATCCCATTCAAGAGCTGCAGCGTCAGTCGAAGCACAACTGTCCCACTGGGAAGATACACGGCGCGTGTGACGATGCCTCGTATCTCATCGCCCGAGCACTTTTCGGTAAAGTACGCGGCAAGATACTCCTCTGGCCGCGCCGTGTGCGCATCGACGCAGGAGCGTGCAGCTTCTGTAAGGATTTGGGAGAGTTTGTACTTGTCGTCGTACCTCTTCCACGAAAGGAGTTCCATCGCCGCCTCTTGGAAGCGCACGCACCAGAAATACAAAGAAGCTCAGAAAACAAGACAGCCACAAAAACACAAATGAAAAAATAACGATGATGACGGTAGAAAAAAAAAAAAAAAAAAAAACATTAAAAGCAAAAGGGAATGGTGAATATCACATCAAAAAAGAGGACGCCCAGTCGGACTTCTCGCACACGCCGTCAATGCCCGCGTCTCCCTCCGTCCTCATCGCCACATGCACCACACGCGCAGGCACGCAATCAAAACCAACACAAAGACACCGAAGAATTAAAAAATATATATATATATAATAATGAATGTTTACAAAACAAAAAACACTCAGCGCCCTCGTAGTCAAAATAGCAGCCGCCTCTGCAACTCGCATGTAAATCGAGAACGCCGCACCTCGTTTGCGTGAAATAGTGTGTTCATATGAACAACAGTATTCGTGAGCAGGGCCTTCCACTCGGGGCTAGAGAAGCTCGCGTGGCCCAGCAGCCAGCGGCCCTGAGCAAACAAGGCAACATCCACACACAACAATGATGTGATGCAGCAAGTAATCTTTCGATACTCAGAGGTCCAACGCGAGCATGAAATTACACCGCTATTCATTTGGCCACTCTCGCTCGCACACTGCAGCAACCTCGCCGCATCATCCATGGTCTCGCAAAGAACATGAACAATCATCGGCTCAAACTTGAACTGCAATAGCTCCGTCTCATATAAAAGAGGGTCGCCCTCATGCTGCTGCTTTCGCCAAGCCGAGAAACTCTCCAAAGCGGGTATCAGCTCATCTTCTACTGCACCCTCTACATCAGAAAAGGGATCGTGTGTTTGAAACAATGTCCCCTGCCCAAAGGCGCCTCGCTTACGCTGTGCCAAAGGCGCCACCACCGCAGCCGAAACTTGACCCTTGTGAAACAGTGAGGCCCGCCCAGCGCACGAGCTCGATGTAACATAGCAGTGAAACTTCTCATTGATGAAATGAACTAACGGTGCCACCTGTGGGTCGACACGACCAGCGAGGCTCTTGTCATTCCTGTTCTCTCGAAGGTCCGCAATGATCTTCTCGCGCCGCTCCATGAAAAGAGCACTTGACACACGCTGCTGCTGCTTCTGCTGGGCTAGAGCCATCCCAGAAGCCGCAGCACTAGAGAAAGAGCAGAAAAGAGAATTACAGCGCCGCAGTGACATGGCAGATGCTTTAACTGAACGTCCGTCCGATGCCAACTCAAATACCGTCGTGTTGATCTCCGCCCACAGAAGCAAACAGGGAAACGAACAGACGGAGGTCTCGTTTCTTCGCACCTCTACTTTATTTAGAAATAAATAAATGCAACAACGCAGCCACAACGAAAAGAAAAAGTGGAAAAATTAATGCGTGGGGTTAAAAACAGCAGATTGCACTTCAATAATAACGCCTGCCAGTGAAAGGGAGCGACACGCCCCCGTTGAGAATTGTGCAAGAGAGAAATAAAAGACGTGCAAAAGTCTATGAGGAGAAAGGGATGCCCCCCCCCCCCCACAACACGGTTTTCTCTCACTAAAGAATTTTTTGTAACTCCTCCTCCTTTCGCTTCCGCTGGTTCTCTTTCTCTTGCACCTCCACAAGGGGTATCGCGAGACGCACCCCACATGTTTGATGTTCCACGAAACGTCCGTTGATGAGCTGGAGCCAGTTGGGTTCATTTGGTACCGTGCGCGCGAGTACGACGTCGCCATTCCTGGGCGTCCACGGCGTGTAGTTTGGGTAGTGATTGCTGGGTAACACATGCACCTGGCACCGTGGGCGTCCAATGGGACTCCAGTCGATTACGTACAATTGTCCCTCACTTGGGTCAAACGCCTTATAATAGTGCATCAGGTAGTAGTCGCTGGCTACACCGTAGAGACCAAAAAGGAGCAGGCCACGTCGGACATACGACGCCTTTTTGCCGTACAGGAAGTTTTCAGCGGACACCCAGGAGCTCATGCCATTCACCAGGAAATTTTATGTCCCTACAGACCTTGGAAAGCAACATCGCCAGCAAAAAAAAAAATATATATATAATAGTAATAATAATAGAAGGTCCATGTGCTTAGCAGTGTGTGTACATAAAGAGATGCATAGAGAAATAAATACATTACGCAGAAAATTAAGCGGCCACAAATATTTTCCACGTGTGGATATTTGTGTTTGTTTACTCATTACCAAAAATGCCAAGCAAAAACAAAATAAAGAATGAGTGATTTCCCCTATTGAAGGGGTCACTTCTCCTTCGAGTCAAACGACGTCATCCCAGCAGCAGCATCGGTGGCCCCTCTTCCTGTTGTTGCTGTTGTTTTTGAGGCTGATGCGGCGGCGGCGTCTGCCATTTCCTTCCGGAACTGTCTTCGCTTCGTGTCAACCATCAGCCTCAACATCTGCACAAGGATGCGCCCCTGCAGCAGCAGAGCAACAAGGAAAATTGGGCAAAAGTACACCACGCTGATAAACAACCCACCACGGTCAAAATAGTTCACCCCCTTTTCCACAAAAATCTCCGCTGCATGCAATCGGCCAAATTCGTTGAGGTACGAGGAGCACCAGCCAAGCAGCAGGACAAAAAAAGCCACCACAAAGATACGCTCCGCCGACGCACGCCAGGTGAGCACCAAGACTAAAACAATGACAAGAGTGTGAAACAGCGCAAGGTACGTAAAGAAAGGCTCAGACCAGTTCACCGCCGCCACGAAGTCGCTCACCTGTTGGTAGATAAACAGCAGCATGTCGCTTCCACCGTCCCTCCATGACGCAGCCAGTCCATCCAGCAACGTGCCCCATCCTGTTGCGTTCAACACCTCCAAATGAGCATCCTTCAGCGTCTTGCGAAGATCCTCCATGAACATTAACTGACAATCGCCCTTGCCTTCACTGCAGCTATAAACGCTACCAATGATAATCTAGTGCTTGCAAGTACAACCCAGAAGTAAAAATTAAAAAAGAAAAAGAAAACAAATTTCAGCCAAAGAGACATCGTCGTATCCACCCAAAGAGATTCATTGCAGCGCAAAGATGCACCGTTCCCAACGACACAGGCACACACAGACAGGAATAAAGAGAAGTGCGTGTGCGGTGTTCGTTTCACCCACCCACCCCGAACAAAAATCTCATTAATCACTGCGGTTAGATATAAACACCTCAAAACATCTGCAGTTCACTTCGTTTTCTTACTAAGCTTCAGCTTCTTCGGTTTCTTTACCGCCAACGCCATTGTCAACTTCTTCCCATTCTTGTGGCGCGCCATCAATACCCCTGTGTGTGTTTTTGACCTTGTGCCAGTGGCACAATCGACGCAGAATCCAACCACGCGGCACTCCCGCTGACAATTCGGGCAGTTCCACAAAACACCTTTGCGATCCTCAAACCCCTCGTAAATGTCAACACGACTTTCGTGGCCAAGACGAATCTTCATTTTGCTCTTCATCTTGGGCCGCGTTTTCTTCAGATGCACCGACTTGGGCACTGCTGGCAAAACCGGCGGAAGAACACCATCGTTCGCCTCAAGTACCGCCTTCCGCCGCTGTCGCTGCCTCCTCGTCTTGGAAACCATCGTCAATTCTTGCAGCAACGGTGGGCCCGCTACTGTGTTTCAGGTGTAGCAATAAAGAAAAAAAAAAAGAAAAAAAGAAAGAAAAAAAAGAAATAAATAAATAAATAAACTTTGTGTTCAAATGACAACAAGAGAGCGAAAAATGGAAGAGAATATAAATTTGGTTCTTCAGCCGTTTACTATGCTCTTCATTCCCTTTCCCTTCCTCTTTTTTTTTTTTTTCTTTGCACCTCCGCGTGAAACTCAATAAAAGGAAAATCGAGGTTCGTCTCCCTTTTCACGCGCCTCTTTGATGCGTTTCTCATACTTGGGGGCGAGCTCCTTTGCCTGTTTCCACGCAAACTCCTTCATGGGTTCCGTCAGACGGTTGTAGTACTTGTTCTTCACCTTCTCCAGCTTTTGAGGATTGTGAGCCTTCATGGCAATGTTCATCATCGAGGCAGGGCCAATGAGAGCAAGGTTGCCAGCCGTCATATCACTGTTTGGAAGCCGCATGTTCTTCCGCGGGTCATTGAACCAGTGATCTTTTTTGAAAAGATCCTCGCTATCGAGCAGCTTGTCGTCATCGTCATCGTCATCGTCAAAGGTGATTGCCCTGTTTTGCATTTTTTTCACCTCCGTGGTGTCGTACCCTGCACGGTCCATCCGGTTGATCCAGTATGCGGTACTCATGGGGGAAGCAATGGCCTCCTCGGCGTGTCCCTCACTCACACGCTGCTCTCTGGGTTGCAGCTCCGCCTCCGCAAGGGTCGCCTCGTCTGCCTCAGTTTCCAAAGGCACGACATGACATGCCAAAAGACCGGTACCGCCAAAGGGCAGAAATTTCACACGGCGACCCTTCTTTAAAAGAGATTTGCACGTCTTGTAATCCCTCACATGCTCCTCGCCGTCACGAAGAAGATACCGATTGCCGTCATCACCCTGAATGACACCCTGATCCTCTAAAGACGACCACGTAATCAATATTCCTTGCACCCAGTTGGCATCGGCTAAAAGTTCCCCCGTTCCGCCATCGGCTGCAATAGCATTGCTGTTTTCCCCATCCGCACCGGCAACAAAAGAGGCAGCATTAACGGAAGAAATTCCATCACCAAAAATAGTCGTCGTCGTCGTTGTCGTTGTAGGTCCTTTTTGCCTTTCCAGCATGGGCATCACAGAATTAATTTCCCGCGTAGCAAGCGAAAGGATGTTCACCTCCCGTGCGTTGCGACGATTTTCTTTATCGACGGTAAAACAAACAACAGCTCCACGAATAGTGTTACTTGTTTGATCGATAAGTTGTATAAAATCTGCCGCGGAGTGAATATAATACAGTCGCCTGTTGCCCGTCTCCACGATGCCCTGCCCCCCACTCCATCGGGTCACCACACCATAGAGGGGGCCGGTGGGCAACGGCTCATCAGTGTGGTCCATCTCCTCTTCAAAGAGGGTACCAAGTTGTCTGGCACGTTTCGAATGCTCCCTAGCGGCAGCCTCCTTCGCTTTAGCCTCCGTTGCAGCAGTCCGTGCCTCTTCAAAGTTTACACTCCCACTCACTCTGATGTTTTCGGCAAAAACCTTCAAGGGATGACACGCGTACGCCACCTTCGAGAAGGTTACGGTGCGGCCGACCAAGTTCAGCTCCGTCGGAAGCGCCGTGTCAAAGGAATCGACATTGCGAATAATGCACATGCCCTCCATGTTATTCTCAGGTGCATTCCTAGAAACTTCCGTGGCATTCTCCAGCACCACGCCACTACGATGCAGCGAGGACCACGTCAAAACAACACCCGTCTGATGGGTGGAAAGTACCTTCCGTTGTTTCGTCTTCGCGGCCTCAGCCTCTTTTCGCCGTTGCTGCAGGACCTCGCGGGCTTTTGCATCACTGCCAAGTTGACGACGTAACCGCAGCAGTTCTTTTGTATCCTCGTCCAATACCACGAGATTGCGAAGATCCTTTACACCCCGCGGAGCTCGCAAACCCTCCTCTTCCTCTCTTTCAATTTCTGTATTCTTTGCACCCTCCCTATTCGCAGGGGCACTTCCTCCATTGCTCCTCTTTGACATCACTGTACTCAAGTCAACAGTAATGTTTCCAGCAAGTGGCTGCGGAAACAGTGCCGACGGAGAGGATAGGGAAGAGGCGCATGTGGCGCTTGGTTCTGAGGTTGCCTCTGGTGTCGTCATATTACTCGACTCCAGACAAAATCCAGCGAGAAAATCAACGGGACTTTTTCGCTCATAACTCTTTGCCGTGATGGGCTCCAAACGACTGCGTGTGATGACACGGTCCACGTCTTGAGTGCCGCAAATGGCCTCAAACTCGACCGCGGCGCCCTCCAATTGGCGCAGTCGTGTGGGCAAAATAGTCTCGAAAGCGCGAGCATTCGGAATTTTGTACTCCTTGCCATCCGTCGCGCAACGAATAACACCGTGCCGCTCAAACGGATGCCACGAGATCACCGTACCGCGGAGACGCTTAGAAAACCACAGTAAGCTGGCACGTCGCATAGCCACAAGATGTACCTCCGCCCTTTTCTCTCCACGCAAAACGCAGGCACAGAGACCCTCTGCTCAGCGGGTTTTATTTACCCTTCTAGACGTCTTTTTGTGTGTTCTTTGGCCCTGCTGATGGCATCAATAATCGCGGCCTCCCCAATCAATACGGCGCAGTGAAACGTGACCGCAACGTAGTCCGAGCTCCTTCCTTAATTCCCTCCTCTGCTCCTCTTGCAAAAAAAAAAAAAAAAAAAAAAGACAAGGCACAGAAAGAAGAAACATCACCGTCAGAGAAATCATCAGCAGTGCAGTGCAGTGGAGAAGGCAATGCTGTTGTGCCAGTGTTCTCTGTTGGTATGTATGTATGTATATATATGTTTGCTTGTTTGTTTGTTTGCTTGTGTTTTTTTTTTTTTTTTTTTTTTGGCCAAGAGAAAAAATGCACAAAAACGCGTGTGAGCCCAGTAAGTAGAAAGGGGAAAAAAAAAAAGGAAAAAAAAAAAAAAAGGGAAAAAAACAAGGGCAAAGAAAGGTGAGAAAACCCCCCGATGGCCTACAAATATATTCTGGCACTTCGCCACACAATTCCGAGTAATCAATAATTTATTTTCATCCTTTTTTTTTTCTTGTTTTCATTCCTGTCGCAATGGTTCTTTCAATGCCAGCCCTCAATCCACAAAAACTGTCCGGCCCTCCTCTACCCTGCCTCCCTTCCTTTGTGGGCCTCGCCGCCTCCCTCGTCGCCTCTCGCATGTATTTTTTTTCTTCGGCTGGTGGAAAAAAAAAGAAGCAGGAAGGGAGGAGGCGGAGAGAAAAAGAGGAAAGAGTTTCGCCCGTTTTAAGTGCAGCCCCTCAGTCAGTCTACTTTTCATCGTTTTATTTGGTGTCTCCTTTTTTTTTATTGTGTGTGTGTGTGTGTGTGTGTGTGTGTGTTCCTGTTGCCCCTGTCCTCCCTTTTTTTTGTTTGTTTGTTTTTGTTGTTGTTGTTTTTTCTGTTTTTGTTTTTGTTTCTGGCGGGGGAGGGCATCACTTCCCACCATTGACAACATCTCAGCGCAACGATCGCCCTGTTCCCGGCATCATTCACTAAGATGAGCGTCGTCCATTAACAGCATGAGACTCACACCATCGGGATGAAAGGAACTTCAGAGAACTACACCATACGTGTTTATACATATGAACAGATATATGTGTCTCACTCTTCTGCGAAGCATGTCAATGCGTGTGGCACGTCACACTCCCATGCACGCAGTAAATGTGTCACTAGTTTATATATATATATTCCTCCTCTTTTTTTTTGTTTCCCGTATTCATGACAGCCACATATACCCGCATTCCCTTTGCCCACTCCACAGCACACGCACCCAACTCACATCGCCACAGCCTCACGCTTATGACCGCAAAAGGCACAGAACTTTACCTTCTCACTAAGGTGTTTTTTTCCACACTCCGTACAGAATGGAACAAGTCGTCTAGGTGAATATGGTTCACCAACGGGACCGCGTCTCACGGCCCTAAGTGGAGTCTCAATTGGACGGTCATTGCCCAACGGACGGTATGATTCACGTTCAAGGGGTGTTATAAGCGTAAATGACGAAGGACTCTTCCGCCCCCGTGGAATTTGGCGCAAAGAATTTTGCTTTGAGACACTGGAGGCCGTCTCCAAGGAATACGGAGGGGACGTACTCTTTTTACCGCGGCACACGCCTCTCTCATCTAAAGTGGCTGGATCATCACGGCGCAAAGGCGCGGCGCGGGTGCTGATTCCAGTTACCCGGTACCGTGTACTAGCAGTAGCCGTCCGCCCAGCTACGGCAACCGGACTGCGAACGGCTCCTGCACTACGAGGCTCGGGCTTCGGCTGTGTCTTCGTCTTCGTCTCTCCTGAAACGACAACAGTAATTTTCGAAGTCCCGTTGCCACTCTTGGCTTTGCGTTGCTTGCTCGTAGGCACAACGACCGAATTTCTGTTGATGACTGAAGTTGACTTTTTTGCCGCCACTTCTGTGAAGGAGGGCGCCTCCACACTGTTACGAGACTTACCTACTAATGGTCGCTTGTTCAACGCGCCAGGCTGACGCTGGCCCTCATGACGTTCCTCCACCCTTGATTTGTCGATAGCAACAACAGGAGCCGCGGCACCCGCTCCCGGAAGAGAACTTTTCGGAATTGCAGCGCGAGCCTTTTTGCATTCCGGCTGCGAATTCTCCTTTATGACGCCTTCTGTTGCAGCAGACGGCAGCTCCTTCATGGTCGATGATCGCAGCATCGCCTCCGCAAACTGCTTCTTTGGCGGATTGTTTCCTGCTGACCGTCCCGTGGGGCCGGGAGGCGTACGTCGTAAAAGTGGCTCTGGAGACTTGATTGGCTCCGCGGACAGCAGTCGCCTCGCATCCTCCTCTCCCATGCTCCTTCTCGAGTCCACCGTCAAAATAATAATTGGGGGCGAAGTGGAGCGTCCTCCGCGACCTGGCGTAGGCGTTTTTACTTTGTCGGCTTGTTTACCGTCATTCGGCTCCCCACGCGTAACGTTGCCCTCGCCAGGAACGGCCGATGCGCATCGATTCCCCCCTGCGCCTAATGCACTCTGGACATGTCCAAATCCATCTCGACCGTTTACGGGCCCATCACGGCTCCCACTGCCAACTCCTTGATTTCCAACGGGAGTCCTTAACGGCGGGGAAGGATTCGCTCGGGGCGGTGATGGACTCTTCCCCACTATCTCTGATGGCTCTCTCTCAAATTTTATTACCCGAGACATTGACGCCCACGATCTGTGCTCTTTCCTTAGCGAATTTATATTTTCGCAAGTCGCTTGTGTCTGAGTTTCACTAATTTTGGTGCTTGGGTGGTCCACACGTCGATGTTGCGGTGGTGAAGGCGTGTCACAAAGGGAGAAGTTGATTCTTTCCTGCCGCCGCGGTAAAGGCATTGGTGTCGTCATGTTTGGCTCAGGCATCGCTGAAGATGTCATCAGTCTCTTGAGTGCGCGGCCTCTCGATTCCTTACAGAACGGCAAGCTGCCAGCCGATTGCGTACGGAAGTAGTGCAACAAACGCCTCTCTGATCCACTCGAACTTTTCTCATTGGGAGATCGTACGCGTGTACTAGGCGCGTATGAAGCCACAATTCGCATCCGCTCCCTGTTCTCCCGCTGCATTTCTTCTAGGCTTTGAAGGGCCCGCTCTAAATCTTTCCGCTGCCTTTCCCCTTCGGCAGGGTTTTCAAGAGCCAGCTGTTCGCGTCTTCGTCGTCGTCTTCGGCCAAAATCGGAAGCGAAGCTGGACATGCTGCCGATTGTGACGTCCAGGTCCGCCGCTTCTAACACGGGAGATGCCCCCGCCCCCACCCCCGGCGTCGTCGCTGTGGATGTGTCTAACGAACGGTGGTACGGGCGGACTGTGCTGGAGAGCGTGAAGGGGGGTCGAAAATTATCCTCTTTGAGGGACTGCAGCATCTGGCTTGCCCAGTCCCCTCCTTGGGCGGAGAAGGATACCATCTCCTTCCCCCTCCCTGCAGAGTCGTCCGGACCTGACGCGCCCTCCTCATTCTCTTTGTTGGCCCGGGGGCGCACGCGGCTGGTACCCTCCCCGACGCCCACCCCCTCATTCATTCGCGGTGAGTCGCAAGCAGGAACAAAGCGGGAAACCAGCTACTGAGAAAAAAGGGAAAAAAAAAAAAAAAAAGCGGCATCTCAATCAGCGGTAATTTCACTTCAATCACCCCGCCTCTCCCCAAAAAAGAAGTGAAGTTCGGCGCAGCAATCCCTCGCACATCCAAAAATCGCAGGATTTTTCCATCAAACTAACAAAAATATCACAAGAAAAAAAGAAATCAAAAATATATGCAGCAAAACACCAAAACTGCCAGAAAAAAAAAAAATAAGGAAAAAATGTCCCAATTAGTACGGCACGGTCGGATGCCACTGGCGAGCTTGATTCCCCATAGGCTTAAAGTACGCCTCCACATAATCCGCAGTGACGTCGGAAAGCTTGGCCGGCTTCCACTTGGGATCCTTTGTCTTGTCAACAAGCAGTGCCCTCACCCCTTCATGAAAGTCCGAATTGGCATGGGTCCTCAGAGACCCAATGTAATCCATTCGAAACACGTCTGCGGGATCTGTCATTTTCACGCCCCTCTTCTGCATCTCTAGGGACACGCGGAGAGATGTGGGTGCCATTCGGTTCAACGTGTTTATGGTACCCTTTGCAAATTCCCCACCGTCAGCAGAGAGAGACTCATATATGCCCTCCACGGTGGTTTTTTCCTCCAATGCAAAGCTCTTCTCAATGGTCTCACGGTGGGGCTCAAGCGTAAACGGTGGCAAATCCCTCACAGCAAACTCCTCCAGGCATGCCTCCACCTTCGCAGGATCGTCAATGTGGCACAGGCGTTCCTCCAACTCACAAAAGCGGGCTGACGGGACGTAATGCGTTGCAAGACCCGTGTGTGCCACATCGGCCCCCTTCAGCCTAGCTCCTGTGAGACCAAGATACAGGCCAAGTCCCTTCATCTTTAGACGAGGCAGAAACCACGACGCCCCCACATCTGGAAAGAGACCAATGGCCGTTTCAGGCATTGCAAAGACGGCACGCTCCGACGCCACGCGATATCGCCCATGGACAGAAACACCGACGCCTCCACCCATGACGTAGCCATCCCACAGGGAGACCTGCGGGTTCGGCATGGTAAGTATGTGATAGTTCATTTGATATTCCGTATAAAAAAACTCCGCAGCAACGTCATACCTGTCTTTGAGACTGACGATATCTCCACCAGCGCAAAAACTCTTGTTGCCTGCACCCTTGACAACAAAAAGCGCAGAGTCCCCCTTGGCGTGTGGCTCATGAACATACGCCCGTTGCATGGCTTTCACCATTTCCAAATCCATAGAGTTCAGAGCCTTCTCACGATTTATAGTGATAAGACGAGTATTGGTGAAGTCCTCCCACAACAATTTACCCGTGAAAACCCGTATTGTTCGCCGCATTGCGTCTTCTTCAAAAATTCCAACTCTTCCCAAATATAAAATATATCCTCTTCCTCTTGTCTCTGGCTCCCTCTATTTCCCTTCCCCACCCACCTTCTCTTCCCTTTTATTTGTTTACGTAACAACACCACACAGTGTGAAGTAAGCAATACCCTTAAAGTATTTTTTTTTTGGGCTTTTCCTCGTTAAATATATATATATATTAAAAAGGAAAAAAAAAATTTTTAATGTGGTGCGTTTGCGCTCAACAAATAAATCTTGGCAGCAGAATTTCTTTACTCATGTGGTAATCATTTCTTTTTTTTTTTTTTCCATTCTTCTTACCATCGTCCCTCACAATTTTACGCAAAAGGCGCGCAGGACTCTACACCCCCTCGCCTTTTGCCTCCATCATTGTTTCCAAAGGTGCCTCTGGGTCCCACGGCACAAGGCCCACGCTGTCAAAGAAATAATCCACGTCTGCCGCTGTCACTTCCTCAAGCGTCCTCCTCTCCCACTGCGGATCGCCTGTCTTCTCAATCAGCAAAGCATTCACGCCAATTGCAAACTCGTTCGTTGACGACATGCGTTGAATAACACCGTATTCCAATGACATAGCCTCACGTATGCTCGTCATCTGGGATGCACGTCGAAATAATTCCAATGTCACTTTAAGACATGTAGGCGAAGCCTTGCGTAACAGTTTCAGTGCCTCCATCGCGAATTCCCCACCGTCAGCAGAGAGAGACTCATATATGCCCTCCACGGTGGTTTTTTCCTCCAATGCAAAGCTCTTCTCAATGGTCTCACGGTGGGGCTCAAGCGTAAACGGTGGCAAATCCTTCACAGCAAACTCCTCCAGGCATGCCTCCACCTTCGCAGGATCGTCAATGTGGCACAGGCGTTCCTCCAACTCACAAAAGCGGGCTGACGGGACGTAATGCGTTGCAAGACCCGTGTGTGCCACATCGGCCCCCTTCAGCCTAGCTCCTGTGAGACCAAGATACAGGCCAAGTCCCTTCATCTTTAGACGAGGCAGAAACCACGACGCCCCCACATCTGGAAAAAGACCAATGGCCGTCTCAGGCATTGCAAAGACGGCACGCTCCGACGCCACGCGATATCGCCCATGGACAGAAACACCGACGCCTCCACCCATGACGTAGCCATCCCACAGGGAGACCTGCGGGTTCGGCATGGTAAGTATGTGATAGTTCAATTGATAGGTTGTTCTTAAGAAAGAACACAAGGTGCCATGGGCAACAATACTTCGAACGTCACCACCAGCGCAAAAACTTTTGTTGCCTGCTCCCTTTAAAATATAAATCGCACTGCGAGGAAGGCTTGGATGCGGTCTCTTTAGGTGCAGCCACAGCATGTGTTGAGCCATCTCAAGTGACAGAGCGTTAAGCATGGCTGGGCGACAAAGCGTCAGGAGGCGGGCACAGGGAAAGTTCACAACATGCAGCGTCCCTATACTCTCCCCCTTTGTGTCGTGCGGAACTCTGTCAAAGCTTTGAGTCATACTGGAAGAAGAAAAAAAAAAAAAAAAGCAATTATAACCAGGACCCTCTTTTGTTTTATTCGTTTCCTTTTTCCCACTCACTCTTCGCTTATGGCCGTGCCGTTTAAGATTTGGCCCGCCGTAAAGCGCCCCCCACATAAATTCCCTCCTTTTGGTTATGTTTTCGTTGGCGCATTGATTGCAGAGAACAAGAAAGAATAAAAATAAAAATAATGGAAGTGGAGGGGAAAAAATAAAAGGCGAATAATTCGCCCCGTCTGCGGGCAACGCCGTGGACCCCAACACCACATAACCAACAAGCACACCTCCCCATAGCAAACCTTTACAACCGGAACACCGCAACACCGGCCGCAAACTCCCCGTTGCAGAACCCATCCTCCGTCTCCGTCTCTGAATCATCAAACGGGGCGCGTTCCCGCTTCGCAAGTCTCATATTCGTCTTCGACTCGCCCCCATTCGCTTCATACGTGTCTCGCACGGGGTACTGACGCTCCCCCACTGTGGCAATAACCGTTCCATCTTCGAGAACAGACAACCCTGCAGTCGGCCCCAAGGATGCCTGAATTCGCCGCGGTTCACCCGCAACAAAAACATCATCAAAGACCAACACGCCACCGTCATGCGTTGCCGACACCAGACACGTTCGCCGCCCTCCTGTCCCTCGTGGCAAAATAAGCCCAAAAAAGGCGGTTTGTTGTGTGGACACCTTTCGGTCAAAGGTCGCAAAAATCCGGTTGCTTTTGCGAATATCCCAGCAGACAATTCGATTATCACCAAGTCGACCTGCGGCAAAAACAAGATACTCCAGCGTTGGATGAACCTGAATCTGCGCAACACCCGACCGCAAACCACGTAGTACGGCCGCCGCTCCAAAATGCCGTGTATCTATAACATCTACGTTTCCAGATCGTATAAACCCTGCCAACAGCAATTCTTCCCCATATGGTTGCGGTCCATCCGAAAGGGCGGAGACAATACCCTTCGAACAAGGCGAGCAATACGACGAATGAACTGTATCCCCTTCCCTAAGAACATCGTAGACACGTACGTGGATACGGTCGCAAGTGCCGCCGTACCCACCCGCCAAAAACGTGTGGCAGCGGGACCATAATAACGCATGCGGGCTTGCTGTTTTTCCAAGAGCGTTATCACAGCAGTACGACGCACGAAGAGACGCGTCGTCTGCGTCCCACATTTGTAACGGACGGCTGCTACATGCCGTCAAGAATGCGGCGTAAGTATTTCCCTCCTTAAATGGACACCAGGCCACATCAATGGCAGGATATGGGAGTTTCACCCAAGGGGCAGAACGATCCAGAGAAATAGAGGGAAAAGTATCCGCTTTTTCAGTGTCCATGGCGATAGAAGGAACCGAAGGTTTACTCCATGTTGCTAGAATTTCTCTCTTGTACCCAGTCAAACAATCGGGAGCAACTGCAAAACGACGAAAAAGGACGTTCTTGGGGGCCTCCATTATTATCTCAGGCCCTGCTAGAGACGCCATTTTTCCTCGTAGGGGTAAAAGCTTTCAGAAAGAAATACAAACCACAAAAAAAAAAAAATATCATAAATGACAACAACAGCAAATATATATATATATAAAGAAATGTGTTCGTAGGACACATGCAGATTCAAAAGTCGGAATGTATTTAGGTATTTCACCAAAAGTGTGACGGTAGAATGAGAGTCCATAAATTTTGGCTTATGAAGCCAAATCATCCAGGGCTTGCTGAATTGCTGCCATGACGTGGCACTCCTCTGCGTAGTAGGGACTGCGAGGGCCTTCGCGCTCATGACGTTCCTCTGCCTCCGCGACGGCGTCCACAATCTGATGAAGAAGCGCCCGCATCGTCGCTACTTCTATCTTCAGCGCACACTCGGTCGTCCGGATCGTCGTCTCCTCAAACTTCTGCACCTCAAAGAGTTTTTGTGCAACAGCGACACGTGCTTCCATCTCCCGCAAGAAGCCCTTAAAATTCTTTTCTTCTGGTGGAATCATGGAGTATGCACTTGATAGCTTGGTGCGGAGCGCTTTTTCCCTCGACTCCATAATGGTGGTAAACTCACGCTCTTCTCTATCACTCTCATTCTCTTCCGCCGAGCAGGATGACCGGACACGCTCCAAGATGGCAAGAAGCAGTGGATGCGGTCGGTAACCTTTTCCAGGGAGGTTGTTCCCCTTGCCACGGTGCTCAACAACCGTGCTGGCATCTTTCCTCTCCCCCGCCTCCCCTTGCATCCCTCCAGTTGCCCGGCTTTCTTTATGCTCTGACGCCGTCAAGTGAATGGGCGGTGGTATTTGCTCGTACGGACTTTTGAACCGTGTGGAGGTCGTGGAAACCGTTTCTTCCACCAAAATCTCCTCAGCGCTACTATGATGATCACCATTCTTGTGGTTCCCTTTGTTTCCATTTTCACCGGTGCCTGCGGATGGCAAGGGAGTCGATGGTATCGACGGCTGTGTGCTCTCTTCATTGTGCAGACTGCGTGCATTATCCTGCAACCGCGTAGCCGTCGGCGTGCTACTCATGGAGCTCGTGGACTCCGCTCCACTCAGCAGTCTTCGCCACGTCGACGAATTCCTCGCCAGCTGAGGAATGATTTTCGGTAGTTCTCGCAAAAGACGGTCCTGCACAGAAGAAAAGACGCGGTTCAGCATATTGGCGTTGTTTTTCGCTAAGCATTTTTGCCCCTGCGCCGCCTGGACGCCGCGCTTGAAGTCACTCATCGCCATGTCGCATTCGAAACGACTGGGAACGGAGCGAAGAAAACCGTACAGCGTGCAAGAGGCCGTGACGGGATCATACGCCGCCGTTGCATGATTCGAGTTTACAGTGCGCAGACGAATGATTGGGAGCGACATCTGATGCCTTTAAGAAGAGAAGGTGGTCCGTGAGGGCTCCCTGAGACAGCGCCTCCTCGTTTGTTGTTCCTTCTTTTTCTTTTTCTTTCTTTTTTTACTCCCATGCACACACAGAGAGAGAAGAAAAGAGAGAGGAAGGAGTCCAACACAAAAAATAACGTTTCAAAAAGCAAGGAGTGCAATACAACGACGGGTGGAGGGGTGGGGGTGACGTGCAAACACAATAGGCAAACGCACTAAAGAAATAAAAGGTTCAAGATTGTGTGAAGCAAAAAAAAAAACTTTTTTTTTGGGCCAAAAAAAAAAAAAAAGAGGGGTCCGGTGTGCACTGACTTCAATAAATAAATAAAAAATAAAACAAAAATCAAAGAAAAGAATCCAAATGCATACGCCCTGCTGCGGGCAAACGACGTCTACGAAACGTTGCCGTCAGGCGCCTCTCCGTCACCAAACCTCGAACAGTTCCGCGGGAGCGTTAGAGCGCGTGGGATGTGCTGGAGGTTCTCCGACCCCGCACGCGGTGCCAAGAACACGTCAATAAATTGTGTGATAAAATGCACCCAGTCATTGCGCTCCTCGTCACTCTCGGCGGCAAAAATCAGTTTGCTGCACGCATCTTTTTCGTTCCGGTACTCAATTGCGAAATACTTTTTCTGCGGATCGACCGCCTTGGGGCAGTCCTCCGGCAGGATCCGCGGCCAGCAGACCGCCGCCTTTTTAAATCGACTACCGCGGGAGTCTCGTGTCTCCTTCCAGAACGGAACGTGGCCCAGCGGCCTTGACGCATTGGAGCGGCAGTGTTGCTCGCTTTCGTACCACATGACCCCCTCGTGCTCATCCACCAACAAAAACCGCAAAACGAACTTCTTGCGACCAAAGGACCTCTTCTCAAGATGGAGAATTGTCCCCTCCTTGCGTGCAGCCGCTGGTGCCCTCGCCAGCGGTGAATGCGCCTCCTCCGTGCACGAGGTCAACTTTTTATCGTACGGTGTGCTGGGCAAACTCAGTAACAAAACTTCCCGCTTCTGCCCCATGTCAACTGAAGATGCTCGCAATGTCCCCTTAGCGCAGCCTGTGGTGTTGCTTTCATAACCAATGCCGTATTTTCTTCGCGCCTCACGGCTGCGGCGCAATTGCACCTCCACCAGATGAATTTCGGTACGAATCCGACTTAAAGCCTCTGCATGATTGCAGCCACAAACCGTCATGCGGTCAAGTGGCCTTTTACTTTATTTATATACGTTTATGTTTTATTTGTTTTTTTTGTTTTCACTACTGCTACTGAGAACGAGAGGGTCTGCCACTACGGCCGCCAGATCGCGACCAACCGCATCGGCGCAATTCATAGAAAAAAGGGTCAAAAAAAAAAAAAAAACAGAAAAAAAAAACCTTTAAACAGACTGAAGCCACACCGTGTTAATTGAGGCTCCACCGCCACCTACTCCGCATGTCAGCACCGCACCCACCACATTTCACACTCACACGGCCCGCCCTAAAACCTGCTAGCTGTGTACATCTCAACGACGTGTAGCCCTCTCCACGCATTCTCTCGTGCCTCCTACGTCAGAACTCCTCCCTCTCTCTCTCTCTCTCCCTCAGAAAAATGTCAGAAGAAACATTTTTCAATGTCATCCCTCCATCCCCCCATTCCATTCCCCTTTTCAGTTTGTTCACAAAACAAACACTCCAGATGTCAATTCTCTTTTTCTTCTTCTTCTGCTTCGCGTGGAGAATTCAAGGTTTTTTGTTTTGTTTTTTTGTTTTGTTTTTTTCTTTTTTATTTCTGGTCTTCTTTTTCTTTTGTTTCTACTTCCCTAAGCGCCACGCATGCAGAGGCCGTCGCCTCTTCTTCCTTTGCCTCCTCAACCTCAGCGCCTCTAGTCCCTAATGAGTTTCTCCGTGCCAGGAATTGAGACGGTGCCGGCGTAATGGTGCTTCGCCATTGCACCGGGTTTGTTCCATGAAAGGTACACCATCTCCTCCGCGTACTTCTCCTGCGCCCACGTCGGCACATCCTGCCTCAGTACGAAGCATGCAGACGCTAGCGCCTGGTACCAGTCGGCATTAAAAATCATGAAAAAGGCGGCTAGGGCCGACGGGATGGCAAGAAACCCGTTGCGCACAACGTTGTAGCCCGTACGGTTGTGGAAGTGGCCGTACTGAATAAACGACGACCACAAACGTCCGCCAAGACCGCCGCAGACTGTGATGGGGTAAAAGTTGTTGTACGGTGCCATCCACGTCACTTTGTTCCAGTTAAAGCCGAGAAAGTCCCCGGCAATCAGGCGGGCCGGAAGCGGCGCTTTGGGCGGGGCCATTATTTCTCTCTTATCTCTCCGCTTTCTTCTGCGCTCTCGCACTCTACCGCACACGCACGCACCCGACCATTCAGATGGTGGAGGGAAACAAAAAGACAACAACAACAAAAAAAAAAAAAAAACCAGGCATCTTCACGTGAGAAACAAAAGCGATGGGGCAAAGAAATCAAAAAACAACGTTCCCCCACACACACACACCCAAAAAACAGAACGTCGTCGCAGACCACACACTCAGAGAAAGGAGAGAGCAGCTATGTCTACAGGCACGCGGCTACCGGCATCCGCAAGAACTGGACGATAAGAGCGGAAAGTCGGAAGCATTAAGTGGAGTCACTCCGTGTTCACGTGAAAAAGTTCCCGGGCGTATCGCAACGTTGACAATTCTGTCCGCCGCTCCAGATCCAGACGATCCTGCTCCACCCGCATGATTTCTAGTCTCTCCCGCCGTCCCTCTTCCTCATCAACAACACGCTCACATTGTTCCTGACGAAACGCGTCGTCTTCCTCGGCCGTTTTCTCATCGGCCACAGCCGCGCGGCGGGCGAGAAGTGCCACCCTCTCATGCTGCACCTCCAGCGCAAAGGACTGCGCCGCCGCCTCCTCCTCGCCAATCTGCTGCGTCAGCTGCTGCACCACGGCGTCCATCACCGCCTCGTCCTGCACCGAGGTGGCGCATGACAGGCACAAACGCACCACCTCCTGCACGGAGGCCTCCAACTCTGCAAAGGCGGCGCGCTCCTCCTCCGCCGCCCGCTGCGCCTCCTCCTCACGCAATCGCACATCGCCCTGCAGAAGAACGTTCTCCCTCTCCTGCACCACAACGCGGCTAAGCACCTTTTGGCTCATAAGCGCAAGTGACTCACTCGTCGTACTGTCGGCAAACATGATGACGCAAGAAATAATAAAAATAAATAAGAAACGCCACACGCCGCCTTAAAAAACAAAAAAAATAAAATAAAAAAATATTTAAAGAGAAGGCACAAAAAATAAATAAATAAAGAGGATAAGCAAAAAAAAAAAAAAAAGAATGAAAAGCAAAAAAGTACACACAAGCATTTCAATGCTTCCAGCCACCGCATAGATCCGAATCCCTCGCCTCAAGTCTTCTAACAGCACCCACTCAACGCCATCTCAACACACACACACACGTGTCGCCACATTCACTCAACCGCTTACAAAAAAAGCAAAAACAAAAAAACAAGCAAAATATATAAGCGCAAAAGCCTACAAAGTGCAATTCGTGGCACAATATTGTACCTATCTGAGTGTTTTTTTTTTTCCGTTCTTTTTTTCCTTTTCTTTTCCTGCGTTCCCGGTCCTGTTTTCCTTCACCCTTCTTGTTTTGTGGGCCAACTGGCAAGTCCCACCCATCACACATGGCCGACCTCCGATGGTTGATTCATGGCATCAAACCGGTCAATGCTCGCGCCATCATCTTCGTACCCAACGCCAACAAACACCCGCTCCCGCCGCCTCTTTAAAAAACTCGTGATGGCCGACACAAACCCCATCAACAGTTTTTTCACCACAACAAACGGCAGTGTCAATGTGCCTGTCGACTCCCCCACCGTAAGAGCAGAAACGATAAGGGCAACGTAGTGGCAGACACCCGAGAAGACTACAAGAAGGGCAAACTGTGTATTGGTGAGAAGTGCGTGAAGTTCCTTGGAGTTCCCTGACGCGTTGGATGAATCATCGTGGGAATGGCTCTCAGAGAAGTTAGAGGGCATTCAGTGGAGAAATAGTGACCCTCCGCGATGTAACAAACCCGTTCTTTTCTTCGCACTTCCTTTTCTCTTATGGGGTTTGATACTAAATCCGCATCACGGCTAAAATGACGACAGTGTGCCATTCGCACCCAAAAAAAAAAAAAAAAAATACATATATATAAATAAAACTCGCCCGGCATCGCTCAAAAAAAGAAAAGAAAAAAACAGAAGAACAACCAACCCAAGCCAAAGGACAGCCAGAAGAAGAGGAACAAAACCAATCAAAGGAATAGAGAAAAATGCACCCTTTCCCAAAAGAAAGAATGGCAATATGATGAATCAGAGCTTGTGCAAAGAGGATGGAGTAACAGCCAAACGCTTCCTACGGCGTGTGTATCTCAGATCCCTCTCCCAGTCATTGACCGGGCCGTCTTCGCCGCCGCCCAAAGAACGCAGCTTGTTGTCCAATCGCTGCATTTTCCGCCTGTGGTGCGACCTTGCCCGACTGCCAAGAAGGCTGTCAAAATCATTCGTAGCTGCTGAGGAAACCGGCGCCTCCACCTCGTACTCGTCGTCCCGCATCTGTGGGCCCTCGTCGCCGACCGTATTCATAGGCCCCCACGCCGTCGTGGGGTAATCCAACCGGCGCAGCAGGTACCGCAGCGCGTCCCCAATCGCCACCACACGCTCCTCCAGTTCGCTACACTCACGCACCGTTGCGCACTCCAACGTCAAAACAGTCGTGTTCATTTGCGTATGCGGGCAGCGTTGTACTTTTGCCTGGGCCACCACCACAAGCCTGCACAACTCGCTCGTCACGGCTTCATGTATTTCCATGTCATCCCCCTCCGGTTTCCCTATTTTTGGTACTGCTGCTTTCAAAAAAACTGTCGACGCCCCTTCAGCTAGGACTGAGGCACCCAATCCCGATGGAAAACTACCCAATACCTCAGACACACGTCGCAAAGAAATCTGTCTGGCATGTAACAACTCCAATAGTGCCGCAACAGGAAGTTCCAACACGTGGGAAGACCGATAATTCTCATTTGTGGAGTCACAAAGGGCAAGCGCCAATAGCGTGCCACTCAAGGAAGAAACAACGACGCCTTCCCGTTGTTCTGAGTGCCTCTCGGAATCAAAACTGACGCATACCCCGTAGTCAATAACGCTATATCCATTTTTACGGTGTGGTGAGTTCAAAGCATTCGCCATGTAAAGTGCCGCTGGGGTTACCGCCACAAATGCACGTTTATCTTCGCTTCGGTGGATGAGAAGGCCCCAGTGGTCATGTAACCGCACCGTGTCAAGCCAGGGAAAAGCGGAAATGGCTGGGATGTCACTCTGTCTGGCCAATGGTGGCAATGGCGGCAGCGGTAAAGCGGAAAAACTCTCATACAGCTGAATCACACAAAAAAAGCACACATCACCGTCGGTACGCAGTGGTGCAGCCCTCCACGAGCAACGAGCGACCATCGACACTATTTCCTCATCGCAGAACGACGGATCCTGCTCTGGAGGCCCATCCTGCAGTGGGACCCACGTTTTTAACCCCTGATGGCCTCTTGCCATAAAAGAACGCAATAGCTCGGCTTCTTCTCCTGTTGTACGCTCCAAAAGAGAAAAGGGACGGTATTCACGTCCCGGGTATTTTCGCTTGAACTCCGTGAGAACAGAACAAATGACAGCCTCATTTTCAAGTGGATTCATACTGTGCGTCGCATACACGACAACGCCCCCTTGCATTCGTACATACTCCAACGCCTGTGCAAGTTCCTGCCGCAAGTACGGAAAGAATTTATTAACTTTCGAGCATACAGAGACAAAACGATTGGCAACAGCCTCTTTTTCCTCGTCCTCACCGCTGGCCCCCAAAACAGTGCGTGGCCTACGCCCGTCTGCAGTTGTATCCGGAAAACAAAGCACCGCATCACACTTCCCACGCAATGCCTCCCACAGGCGCCGTGAAGGGCCCCGTCCTGTTATACGATTCTCAATCCCCACATGGTAACCTGGAGAGTACAACTGCCCCACGCCCAATGTCGCCTCGTCCTCAGGCACTTCATTCAAAGTGGCCTTGGGGCGTTGTAGAGCGTCGTGGTAACGTCTTGATTTCCTCTGTGAAGATTTCGACAAAACAAGAGAGATGACAACGGCTTCTAAAGACTTTTCGCCCGCCTTTTCCGCCACGTCGGCGCGTGAAATTACAAAGTGACCAGCAATGTCTTTGCCATAGGAGTAGTGCTGTGCATTGAAGGAACGACTAGACATGTCTAGAATAATAGCGCCATTCCCCGCATTGCGGCACAATCCACACGCTAAAGGAAGCATCACTCCGAGCATATCCATATCAATAAGTGTATCTGACGCTATCTGCCGCTGCAGCCAGTAAAGATGACCCGTTGAGAGCGGAGCTCTTGGTATCTCCGACTGCAAATCCAACGCCGTCTCCTCCCCAATTTGCTCCAAAGTAAACCGTTCACCAGAGCCGCACTCCTCTTCCTTTTTTTCATCCTTCCCTGTGTGAATCGTCTGTAGTTCATGTGTGCTGATCCTATCATTTAGTAGTGCCTCCATAAAATCCACCTCAAGGCTCCTCATTTCCGTCTGTGTTTCTGCTGAAGAGCATGCCGGAGATGCGTTGCGGTCGTCGGTGCTATTCAAAGCCAGCGTTTCTTGCATCTCTCGCTGGGCAAGAAGAGAGCGTTCCTGTGTGTACGGAAGGCGAAGCGGATCCCCAACGCGTTGGGTGGGCACAGCGTCCACCATGTAAAGCAACGGGTGGACGGGGTGAGGCACAAAAACAACGCCGCTCCGCCCAGCTTGCAACGCCCGCAGGTGCTGCTCCAGTTGGCATCGAATCATGAGACGAACAAACGGCATCCCTGCGTTCATCATCACCATCACCGCTGGGGGCCGAAGCATGGCGTCCACAAATTCGTACTTCTCCTCCGCCCGAATAATTCCCTGCTGCACGTAAAAGTCAGCAAAAAATTGACGATGAACATCGCGCTCCTCCTCCTCGCGCTCCACGTCCGATGCGGGGGTACTCTCCAACGCATTCTCCATATCCACCTCACTGTCTGCCGACTGCGCCAGCTCCTCAAAAAAGCTACGTGACAGCTCTAGTGCGGGAATGTCATGCTCAGCGCGGTCCTCCCGCATCTCCTCTGCGAGAAACGCCTCCACCTCCTCGTCCGTTCGGAAACTCACACCCTCCACAAACCCGCCCGCATCGCGATCGGAGGCGTCTGGCAAAAGCTGCACGGGTCTCGCCTGTCTCCATGTGCCCTCCAGCACCTCCCGTCTCTCCTCCGACGACATGCGACCAATTTTCCCCCAGCTGCCGCGCAGAGACGGAGCCGGAAGCGAGGCAATCGTGTGAGGCACAGTTCGCCTCTTGCCGCGCCGTGCGAGACGAGCAAAACGAAACATTCCCGTGTGTCTGCCGTGTTGCCCTTACCCCCGCCACTGACGCAGAAATAAAAAAAGCAAAAAATAAGATAAGAGAATGTAAATATTCCGTGGGAGAAAAAACCAACAAAAGTAACATGGCGCGGATGCGTCTTCCCGTACACCCCCGTCCTGCCACCCCGTGGCAAAATACACACGCACGCGCTATCAGAACACACGCTAACGTTGTTACACAAAAACAACCGCACTCAAAAACACACGCGCATAACTCGATTCCCAAACAACAACAACAAAAAAAAAAAAAAAAAACAGAGAAAGAAAAAAAATGCAACGGGCAAAAGGTAAAATAGCATGCCAAGATACGGTTAGGAATTGCTTCAACGTTTTGAGAAAAATAAATAAATAAATAGGTAAATGTCTATGGTGATAGTTACTTATTCCCATGGCTTTAATAATTGCAGTGACCAATGTGTAAACCAAGCAATAAATAAAAAAGCCACGTGTTGTTGCGTCATACTACTAATGAGAGGGGCGATTACTTGTCACACGCTTCGCGATGGAGCGAATAGAACGCATGCTAATACCACACAATTTATCATTCGCTAAAATACGACAGAAAAGTGACTGAGACATGTAGAAATCTGAAGAAGATGTGTCTAGAGTTCGCAACACATCTTCTTGCGAGCAATAAGACTGCGGAAGAGAACTCAGCGCACGCCTGTTGTACAGACCAAACCGATACACAAGGATCGCGAGGGTGGTGCGGTACAGATAATGTTCGTCCAACAGGAAAAGATCCCAAACGCGCAAGGCAACAGCAACAGGCAATGTCCTCAAGAAAACTGTGGTCCACCAGTCTAACAAGTATACATCCAGTGGCACTTCATATTTTTGAAAGAGCCCATACAAGGCCGAATGGGCCTTTCGTAGCACGGCATCAAATATGTTAAAGTGCACCGTAATGCCTTCTTTTCTTGACCGGATGAAAGGAACCAAATGACCGTACTCCAGAAGGCTAGTAAAACATACACACAACTCCCATGGATCTTCAATGACGAGAGAGAGCATCATCGCCAGACAAGGCATGTCCTTTACATATACAACCTCCGGCCGAAGCTCCATGTATGTTTGAAGCAACGAATCCACTCTTCGTACAACATTCTCATTGAGCAAAGAAGACAAAAATAAATTGTTTCCATCACCATTTACTGCATGCATAGGGAATACCATGTTTGGATAAAGAAAAGAAAAAGATGAATCAACAGAAACCCCCATGGATTTTTGTGCGCTTTTGTGCAACCATGATCTCGCATCCGAAACCAACGGAGTTGGGCTACGTGCTGCGTCATGGTCCTCGTCTTCATCCTTACCATCCTTGGTACTATTATTGTAAGATGCATCTGGAGTAATGGCTCCCGTCGTCCCATCCGATCCATTTTCCAACCTTTTCATGCTAAACATTTCCAGCAGTGCGTTGCTTCGGTGCTCTGAAATCGGCAGTGGAGGTTTGGTGTCGACAGCCGAATCGCTGCAGCAGCCTACATGGTATTCCTGCAAAGGAGTCGCCTGATCCGCCAAGGCCGTGCCCCTCGCTCTGAGAGAATTCGCGTCGGGAGTGTTGGGCCCCTCCTCCTTCGTTGACGGTTGAGAGGCACGCTGCATCACCTCCGTCGGCATACAGTGCGGCAGACCCTTTTGCAGGTCTTCAATAAGCCGTGACCGCCACTCCGCAAGTGAAATCCTAACGGTGTTAGCGGGGGAAGAGTCGGTGGAAGCCACAGCCGCGGCGCGGAGACTGATAGTCACAGAAGAGAATGCATAAAAATCATATGGTGAGCCCTCCTTCTCCCCCGCCATGAGGCCCGGGGCTTTTTGTTGCGCCGCTTCAAAGTCTGCCCTACTTATTTTCAGTGCATCGCCAAGCGCCATAACCCACGTTTTTGGCCGCAGAGATGCTGGCACTCCAGATTGCAGTATGGTAAGGCACAATTTAACTCGATCCGCCTTGGCAAAGTCACGGAGTGCAGATTCCCAATACGCAGCGCCGGCTGCCCTCAACTGCCGCTGCCGCCGTATCGCCCGTGCCTCCTTCACGTAAAACTGCCGTCGTGTCATAGTAAATTGTTGAATAAGAGACATGTGCCGCTCTGCCTCTCTCATTTCTTTGGCGGGTACATCCTCGCTCACCATGCGACCGGAGGCTGCGTTTATTTCCTCCGCCGCAGTCAAAAGTCCCAGCGAAAACATCAACATCTGCCACTAAGTCCATTTACCAAAAAATAAAAAATAAAAATAAATAAGAATAAAAAATAATTAAAAATAGATGCTGTGCAGAGAACATACGCACACATCTGTGCATCGCGGGAGGGAGAGGGGTGAATACATGTGAATGTGCGATTCCGCGCAGTGGGCATTCAGTACGACCGCCACATGCAGTGAAAGGAACAGACAACGACCGTCTGGAGTTAACACCTTCACTCGGAGAACTCCTGAATAACAACCAGCAGAAACTCGTCGTGGCACTTGATAATGACCTCGCTTGTGCGAGAGCGTACTCGCAGGGAGTCTAGAGTATCGTCCGCATAAAGCAATGGAGCCGCCTCGCGTGCCAGTTCTGCGGCCATATCGGCGTATTCCACCGCCCTCGTGCGGTCTAAGTCCTGAAAACTGTCACGTATGGGTTGCCCGTCGCGGTTGCACACAACAACACCAGTTACGCCTTTGGTGTAAGTAAGAAGCTCAAGAACACTCTCCACGCGCTCAGCCGTCATGAATGATGTGTCCTACTCTTCTCCCCCCCGCTAACTGTTGACGCGGCCCTTCCTCCTCCTCTTCCTCCTTTCTTCCGTTCACGTCATTATGCCAGAGAGGTGAAGATGCAAGAAAAAAACACAAAAAAAAAATAATAATAAATAATAAAAACAAAAAGAAACCAAAAAGGACGCATCCTCATGTTTCTGCCCCCCCGCACGACAAGCAGAACACTGCGGCACCGAGAGGCCCGAACACGGGGCCCCCCAAAAGGCACGTGGAAGTAAAAAAACAAGAAAAAAAAAAAAACAGGAGCCTGTACACGACGCTGCGTACAAACAGGCACGTATATTATATTATATTATATTATATTATAATAATAAAAAAAAAAAAAAAACAGAGATGGCAAAGAATGTGCGTTAAACGCATTTTTTCCCCTCCAAAGGCTCCTTCACTCCGCGCCAATGTCCCTCCTCTTATGCGCTCACTCTCTTTCCCTGCCATTATTTTATTATTATTTTTTTTTATTATTTCTTTCCTGCTCTGCACCACCATTTGACTTCTTTTTTGTTTGTTTGTTTGTTTTTGCGCCCCCTGCGGGTCTTTCGGCGATGTTCACACACTCTTTACCTCCGCAAACCCTCCATGGCGTGTCAAGGCGCTATCGGAGCATTCGCCCACAATATTTGGCGCTCCTCCGCACCACCCCATGCAAATGGAGGGTATAAAAGAAAGAAGAAAAAACAAATTGGAGGAAAAGGTTGGCAGAAACGCAGAAAAAAAGGAAAAAAGTGGAAAAAATGGCGGCAGAAAAAATTTATGTTTACATCCGATATAATAATATAACAAGAATGCATGCACAATCGATTCATACACGCAGATGTATATATACTGTTATACATATGGGGGGGTTGTGTCTGTGGTCAAAGTAACAACAGGGCCAAGGAAGAAAAGAAGACGAGTCTACAAGAATTTAGCCAACATTGCAAGTGTGCGGATGTGACGCTCGTTAAAACACACACACACACACGGAGAGAGAGACAGACAGGGGAAAAAGAAAAGAAAAAAAAAAGAGACATGCATACATTCCAATAAAGACAGTGTGTATTACACTGGGAGTGGGGG